AAAAGGAAATAACTAGATATTAAGAAAAATGTTTCTAAGAAAAATCGAGGAGAGATGAAGGGAAGCTGGGAGAGATGTCAGACAGTGACACAGGTATGTCCCTAGGTATAGTAGAGATGGAAGGAAGGAAGGATAATTGGGTGCAAGCAATGGAGGAGAAATGCCGTTTTAAAGGAGTCTTATTATCCCTGCCATGCTCCATAATTGCCTGGAAGCAATGTGCATAAAGTAAGCTTTATGCAGTGTACATGTGATGAAGGGCTTTAGAGCACAGCAGCTAGAGTTGTTGGCCAGTTACTATCTCTGCAGGTGAAGAGCCTAGAGACAAATGTTTACGGTCGCCATGCTCTATTCTCTTACCATGACACACCTACTTCACACAGGTTCAGAGAGCATCTGTTTCCTGGTTCTGTGGGCACTTTCTCCTAAGAAAGAATTCAGAAGAGGCAGGTTACTAGAGGAACTGCAGCCTGTAGCTATAGTTGATCATAGGACCTCACCTGGTCCCTATCCTCCCCCTCCTCCGCTATCCGGTCTGAATTCCCCTCACTATGATCTTGGCAGGTCATGGTGGCTTAACTGGTGATCTGATCTAATTCCTCATTCTTGGGGGTTTCACACATATTTCTCCCTGCCCCAACTGTGAGAAAGAAGTCCAACTTTTTCCTGATGCTCGATATCAATTATCCTTGCCATTATGGTGACTCCTCTTTTGATCTCTTTGCATGAGTAATTCATAACTATTAGTTCGGTAGAGCCTTGTTGTGTTTTCTGGCAAGAGTCACTGGGAATGGAGCACAACATAGAAGTCTCGGACAATATATACACTGCAACTTGAAGAATGTCACCCATACTTTCAGAATCTTGTCTCCATGTTGGTGTTTAAGCTGTGTCTTGTTGCCTCTGGATGATGAGCTATGTGTGCTGGTGTGCTCCAACAAGTTTGTACCAGGTAGCATATTTTTAGAATATTTCTACTTGGATGAGACCATGTTAGTAGATTACAATTGTCATGGAGAGGGTGTTTACACCATGTCATGATACAAATATTACAAATTTGTCCTCTCCCAGGGAGAGTGAGTTGTTACAAATTTATCAGCACTTCATGAAGTACAAAAGTACCTGGAATAACATCATTTTGTTCAACATCACTTTGTTATAATATTGATAAGAAAAACAAATATAACAACACACAGCCAGGGCCACTGTCTGTGTGGAGCATGCAGGTTCTCCCCATGTCTGTGTGGGTTTCCTTCCATAATCAAAGATATGGAAGGTGAATTGGTGTGTCTACATGGTCCCCATCCAAGTGAGTGTGGGTGTGAGTGTGAGTGTGAGTGTGAGTGTGTCCTGCAAAGAGATGGTGTCTGGGTCAAGATTGGTTCCCACCTTGTTCTCTGAGCTGCTGGGATAGGCTCTAGCCACCTGTGGCCCGAAACTGGAATAAGCAAATAAGTAATTATCTTACTTGCTTTTGTCACTTTTTCTTAAATGTATGTATAGCTCACATTTATTTCCAAGTTTAATATTAGAGGTGTTTTGGGTCTTTATTAGAAGTTTAGTTATGTTTTTGTAACCAGAAATATGCCCTAGGAACTTAACTCATGTTTATATCAAGTAGCTTATAGTAAAATTGGTTTCATTATACTTTGTTTCACTGAAAGTCAGTTTCCAGAACATATCCATGATAGTAGGTGAGGACTTAACTATTTGTGATACTCTCATACATTCTTTATTGCAAAAGACATACTCTGGTTGGGTGATATACTATGTGGGATTCTGTTTTTGTGAATAAAGCCTTTCAGAACTCCTATTGCTGGCTGAGGATCTGTGGGCAGGAAAAGCAACCATGCCCACAATAGGTATATACACCTAAAAATGGAAACCCAATGACACTTATGTGATAGAAGGAGCTCAGAGAGCCACCCTGCTATCAGATGAATAATACCATATAGGGGGATGAGTTATGTTTTTAGGAATTGGAAAGAGAGGCAGCATTGTGTTCAGACTATCAATTTACATGTTAATGCCAAGAAAATGCATAGTATATTATACTATTTCAGATATAGCACATCTGAAATATACTATTTCAGATATAGCACATCTGAAATGGTGCCAGCTTGCCTGTAAAAATTCTAATTGTCTTTACTTTGTTCATCTCAGCCACCTGTATCAACAAATCTAATAGTAATGAGGAAGTCCGTCGAGATTAGAACTCATTTGGTTATATGTTCTAAGTTGTATGGGAAAATGAACACCTAATTGCACTGTGGTCAATTTTGGGAGATTTCCATCATTTTGCAACCTACCAGAGTAATAATGATATCTATTTCACCCTAAACCTGTAAAAAACAAACATTAAAAATAATAAAAAAAGGAAACTTCTAAATATAAAATGTGAAGTTATAGTTCCAAATCTATTTTTAAAATAAATTCTAACAATTAATTTAGAATTACATTTGATGACCTAATTTACCTGGACCCAGTTCTAAGTTGAGAATTATATTTCTAAATATAAATTTACCCAAAAATAACACTGATTAAGAAATAAATTCTAGAAATAACTTCACAGGTCAAATAACTTATTAAGGTGTTTAAACTAAACATCTGCATTGTTGTGCTTAGTGGAGGAAGGATTATTTAAAAAAAAAATAGGTGCCAAAGAAAAAAATCAAATTAATTGGTAACAGCTTTGGAGAAAGTGCAAATTATGAAATAAATCATGTTTTGAGTAAATAAGAATTACTATTCTCACTGCATAGCAAATATATTACATGACTTAAGCTATTTATATTAGGATGCTTTATTTTGATACATATATGCTGTTAAAGGGAATAAAAACCATCCTTATCAGCAATGGAAAATCTTATAATCAGCAAACAAATAAATAAACTTCTATCAATCTGCGTACAAATGATAATTTTTAAAAATATTCCTTTATTTGATCACCAGTCAGACTAAATATTTTTTCAAGACTTATTTAGCACTTTTATTTATTTCTTAAATTTTTCGCTAGTATGTTTCTCATTTATCTGTTTTATTATTTTATTTCTCAATATGTATAAATTTTAATAAGCTATGTTAATCATATGTTACAATTACTGAAAACATTATCTCCTGGAGTTTGTCTTATAGTTACTAAATTGTTTTTGAGGTAAATTAACTAAGGTAGTAGGCTGCTCTTAGGTCTTTTGCTCAAAGTTATTAAATTTATCTGACCACTTAATTTTGGAGTCCTTGAGTACTTTTTATTTCTTTGCCTGCACTTAACTTTTGGTATTTCTCGGAACCTTTATTATATGCTTTTCCAGAGGGGATATAAACTACATCGACTTCAAGCTGTGGCCAAGTGCTGATGACCCTTACTTTTATATTATCAGTCCGGCTATCTCCTATGCTCTAGCCAGATTCCTGCAAATTGCCATCTGGGTGTTCCCTACTCACTTCAAATGAAAGAAGTCTCAAATTATATCTGACAACATTTTCTACTCTCAGAAATGTGCTTGCCTAAAGTTAACAGAAATTACCATCCAATGTGATAGGCTTGAATTTGCTTGGTTTTAACTACATTCCTCTCCTCTCTACTCCTATGTCTTTTAAATCTACCATTTAATCTTCTTTCCATCTGACACTGCACTGGGTCAGGTGCCATTTTCTTTATCATAAGGAGCATGTTTTCTTTCCAATGCTTAAAAATTGTCTTTGAAAAAGAAATAAGCGTATGGAAGTAGAAGAGTAGAATGTGGATATCAGACGCCAGGAAGGGGAAGGGGAAGGGAGGAGGCGGAGATGCTGGTTAAGGGATACGAAATAACAGCCAGGTAGAAGGAATGAGTTCATGTGTTCTGCAGCACTGGGGATGAATACGGTTATCAATAACTTCTTGTGTATTTTCCACAAGCTTAGTAGAGAGGATTTTGAATGTTCACAACACAGGTGATAAATGTTTGAAGTAATCGGTATGCTCATTGCCATGATTCGATCATTATATATTTTATACATGTGTTGAAAGATCATTCTGTATTCCATAAATATGTACAATTAATATGTGCCAACAAAAAAAAATTAAAATCATCTTTGTAAAGTTCCCATTCTAATCATTTTTTCAATTTATCAAATCAATTCTGAATTCTTTGTGAGAAAATGTAATTAAGACTAATTGTTAAATATGCAAAATAAGATATTAAGAAATATGTTCATTAATATTTGTTTTAGGATCACTCAAATATTTGAATTTTAGTAATAAAGTAAACCTGTATTTCTGTGTTTGGTAGCATAAACAAATTTCTTCTTAAGTTAGGTATTTTGATGGGGGCAGCAACATCACAAATGTTTTTGATAAAATGACCTCACAATTAGGCTGATACTCTTACGTGTGGTTACATTTAAAATCAAGGATATTTATAACCCTTGTGCTACTAGACAGTCATTCCAGATTCCTGACAGAAATCAGCAGATGATAATAAACAGTCAGACCTTGACATTATTAAATGATACATGAGACAGTTATGCTAATTTAGCCTTTGACTTATCCATCATTTACCATCCAAAAGTCTCTTTTGAAGTAAAATTGCAGTTCTATTACTTTAAAAATGTGGCTGTGCACATATTTTTTCATTAAAAAGACATTAACTTTTCAGAAAAATCACTAGAAAATTTAATCTCTATTTGATTCTGGAGTTCAAGGATAAATAAAACATGAACTGTATATTTTACGTCAATTAATTTTACAAATCACCCTTCACCAAGATTTTAAGAAAAATGATTACTATTTATTTTATTTATAATATGTGAAGAAAGCCTATCTTTTTAATATTATCATAGTATATTTGTTTTATGTTGAATTTTGTAGCAATTGGAAATAGCCGTGGATTTTAAAGACAGTAATGCTAGTTATCATTGCAATAGTAAGGATAAAAGTTGGACAGTGGGACATTTTTTAAGCTATTCTATACTAAATTTGTGGTGTTGGGGGACTGATTCTGTTTTGCTTTATACAGGTGATTAAAGCAGTAGAGGAAGGCTATCGTCTGCCAAGCCCCATGGATTGTCCTGCTGCTCTCTACCAATTAATGCTGGATTGCTGGCAGAAAGACCGAAATAGCAGGCCCAAGTTTGATGAAATAGTCAACATGTTGGACAAGCTGATACGTAACCCAAGTAGTTTGAAGACACTGGTTAATGCATCATGCAGGTACAAGGCCAGATCCAAATGATTTTCCAGAATGTAGCTAATACAGATTGATGTCACAAATATTTTATCAATTAAATCATTCTTGTATAGACATTACTCTATGAATCTATATGACACTAATTTATTTGGATATATTTTTTTTCATGTTACTCTCTTACAGTGAAGAAATATGTTACTAAATTATACTTAAAATCACCTATACCTAATCTAATAGTATAAAATACCAGGTTTCAGTAAAATGAACTGTAGCCATGTTCAGTTAGCATTAAAATAAATAAATAAATAAATAAATAAATAAATAAATAAATAAAAACTTAAATGTGTGTATTTTCATGCACTTTGGAGGATAGGTGAGGATGAGGAATATAAGATTATAACATAAGAAAAAGTCAATTAAGCACTGATATATTTTAAACCTGAGATATCTAACAATAATTACTCTGATTTCTTTAGAATATATTTTAGTGTTCATATTTTAGAAACATTGACAATTTTAGGGACCCTTTTGCTCTTATCCAGTTGCAGACAGATTTTTGGTTAATTATTTAGTGTGTAGTTTGAATGAGATTTAAAACTGATAAAGGAGTAATCTCTTGGAGAAAATTTATGTGAGTAAATGAGCATATTTTTTACTTTTCTGAATAGCACATGAATGCATTTAAATAATGTTTCATATTTGTAAAGCATGCCTTTTTCTTTATCTGAAAAACAGAATTATCTTCTCAAAAAATAAATCAGTTTGATTCTGTACTAGAAAATTTACCAGATTGTTATTTTCACTATGATTGAGGCAGTTGTCTATTTTTACAAGAAAGTGTTATGTTAGTAACTAAATTGGCTGCCTATTAGCATGCACTAAATGAGAAACAATGTGTTAAAAAAGTTAGAAAAGTTCTATGATTCCGACATAACATTTGTTTACTAGATGAAAAGTCATTTTAAATACAAATGATGAATGAATTTTCAAACTCTGTTCAAGCATCATTAACTTCCTGTGGTAACAAATGGAGAATGTATCTTCTTAGCAGTTATTCCGTATGTTGTTCCCTAAATATCTGCTTTTCAATTGCTTATTGTCACATAAAATACTAAGACTTTCTCTCATCTACCTGTTTGAATTATATTACATTGTCAGAAATGGACATACGAAAGGAGTAAATACTTAATGTTCTAAATTATTTAATTTAGATAGGCATCATTATTATAGCTTGAGAGCATTTAAATTTTTCTAAATAATTTTATTTCATTATATGCAATATAAAGGATTCAGCTTTCTAGGTTTTGTTTAAACAGGTTTTGTTTTAAGACCAAATTTACCACTCACTGCCTTTCCTTTATTCAATCTTCTGCATATCCTGACTCTAGAAATTGTTAGTTCCTGGTCCATTGTCTCGCCCTTTCTCCATCCCTACTTATGTCACAAGATTTGATGACTTCAGTAACCATGTAGATGATATTCCAGTATCTCTAAATGTCTTGAATTTTTCTCCTTCAATGACTTTATTCTCAAGTCTACCTTGTACTCTCCTTTCCATGCTGATATTCTAGACCTTGCTATTATCAAAATTGCAATTCTTTCATCATTTCAACTTCAAGATCTTACTCTCCAACTGTTTCTTTCTGCAGTTCTCTAACAATTCATGCCTAATGGCTAAAAATCACTATAACGTATTCGTTTATTCATCCAACATCTATTTACCTTTATACTCTGTGTCATGCTGTGGGCTAGGTGCCAAGGATACAACATTAAGCAAATAGACCTAAGTATTTGCCTTTGTGAAGCCAATGCACTGTTGGGAGAGAGACGCTGCACAAAATAAAAACTTCAAAACCAATTGTGTGTTTGGTTTTGGAGTGGAGAGTGAGAATTAAATTCAAGATGAATACTAGAAGGTTAGATTGATTGTGCAGGTGAGATATGATGATATCTTGAAATAAGGTGGTATTAATATTGAATGGGAGAGAAGTGGTTGGCTGTACAATATATTGGAAGTTGAATAGATGGTATGCACAATGATAGGTTTTGAGAAAAATGAGGACAGGGAAGAGGTGGACTGTCGCATCATACTATAATGGGGAGGACTTCAGGAGCACACAGATGTGGAGAAGATGAGGAGTGTGGTCTTGGACCTGGGGCCGTATTTATCTGAGAAATATGGAGGCACAAAATAGGCATATGGATACAGAAGAATCTTAGTCTGGAAATAAAAATATTTAAAAAACAGATACTTTTTAAAGACATGAAAGTGAGTAAAATTATCTATAGTGGAGTTATAGCCTAAGTAGAAAAATATAGGGCCACGTCCTGACTCCCTTCGAGTTTTAAAGTCAGGAAAACAACAACAACAACAACAACAAAAGACTAGCAGGCAAAGGAGATTGAGGAGAATCCAGCAGCGCACACACACATGCGCGCACACACACATGCACAGAATTGTGATTTAAACAATGTTGAGACAGAGTAGGATTTCAAGAGTGAGGTGGGAGGTGGTAGTGGTGTTGGCTGAATGTTTCCAAGAGGTCAGTCCTTTTGTACTTTGGAAAATGCTCACAGATTTTGGCAAAAGAGAGATCTTTGCCCATCTCAACTAGAGTAATTTTTATAAAATTGGTTTTGAAGAAACTACATGCAAGTGTAAATGGAATGTGAGAAAGTGGAGAGAACCTAAGTAGAGAGAAAAGTATTTGTGTTTTCTTATAGTTGCAATTTACTTAAGTAAATTTCACATGTAAATGATGTAAATTTACCTGATGGGTATGTAGATTATTTTTAATATTTAGTTCCCTTTTGTCATTTTTTCTGATTATTTCCTTAAGATACATTTCTAAAAGTCATCATCATCATTATATCATTATTATTATTGGCAAAAGAGTGTGAATGTAGTGTCATTAAAAGTGTCTATTGATTTAGTTGATTCTATTAAGTTTTGTTTTGTATTTGGGGTTACATTTTGTTTTTCATGTTCTACCACTCCTAGGTGAATTAAGAAGCACTCTATTTAAGAGTATAAAATAAAGAATAAATAGTTCCTTAACTTCCAGATAAATTTACTTAAATGAGCGTAAGTTCCTCTAGCACGTCTATAATCGATTGGCTTTGCACAAATTATCCCACGTTTCTATAGTGGGTAGCATTTTTCTTATCTTCATAAACAAAGAGTAGTATATCTAAATCACTACATGGCAAGTTTTTAGTAGAAAGATTTTTAGAGGAATATTATGTTTACAGCAAAATTGAGTGGAAGGTGCAGAGATCTCCCACGTACCCGTTACGCTACACATTATGTAGCCTTCCCCCACCCTATTACCAGCATCAACCACCAGAACGATACATTTACTACCATTGATGAATCTGTTTTTCCACATAATTATCAGCCAAGGCCCATAGTTTACATTAGAGTTCACTGTTGGTGTTGTACGTTTTACAGATTTAGTCAAATCTGTCCACCATTATACCATTATACAGAGTGGTTTTATTATACTAAAAATTCTCTAGGTTCATCTATTAGTACTCAATAAAATTTTTAGCTATTGTGTTGTCTTACGTAAAATTTACTTATTAGTAAGTCCTCATCTTAAGTCATCATTAATTATGGATAAAATAATCTCAGTAGACTGATTTTGTGTTCTCCTGTATTTTAAATTATTTTCTTCCATGTTAGCATTTACGTATTTCTCCTCTATAAATATACTTACAGACTCAAAGATCCATTGAATATAAGTTAACATTATAGTAAACTTTGTTATGAAAGAATTAAATTGTTACTATTAATATTTATGTTTTATGTGTTTTAGAGTATCTAATTTATTGGCAGAACATAGCCCACTAGGATCTGGGGCCTACAGATCAGTAGGTGAATGGCTAGAGGCAATCAAGATGGGCCGGTATACAGAGATTTTCATGGAAAATGGATACAGTTCAATGGACGCTGTGGCTCAGGTGACCTTGGAGTGAGTAATTTTTCTGATAATTTTTACATAATTGTTGGGGCAAGAAAAGTTGTTCAAAAACCAATTTGGATGAGGTCAAGGGAAATCAGTTAACCTTTGTGGATGTGTGGCAGCTCTCAAAGAAGCCTCATCATCTTTAGCCTGTATTGTTAACAACTGCATGGTTAATGCTACGTGTGACCGGTATCTTTGCTTGTTTGCTTCAAACAAATAACATTGGCATACTTGAATAATTGGAATAACAGCTCCTTGGCAAAATACTGGTGTTTTGTGTTGTGGAAAAGATGTTTTCTTGACAAGTTTTTTTATACTGGTATCTATGTTATATGAATGTAAATACCAAACAAAATTAACTGTAAGCACAATTGGTGTGGCTAGTCCTACATAAGGACCAAACATATTTGTACATTTCGGCTCTCTACGATGAATACCAAGGTAACAACAGCTTAAACAAAGCTTCCCTGGCAGGATCTCATTTAATTTCTAAGTGGTGCACCTTACATTCTTGCAATCTAAGGATGTATCAGATCCTGCCTCTGATTTGTTATTTGGTACAATCTCAGTGGAACCAATTGTGCCGTTTTCTGTTTGCACGTTTAAGATAAAATTTATCAAATCTTATTAAATAAAAATCACTAAAGTTAAATATTAAATTCTTTAAGGTTGTAAGTTGTTTGTATTTTATTATATACTCTGTACATGTGGTTGTTTTAGCCTAATTGTTATTTGTGAATAACTGTCTTTATGGTGGTTCCATCTAGATTACATTAACATTAATGTTTTAGCCTGTGAATACAATGATAACTTACTTCAAATTACCTGCCAATTCAAAGGTTAAAATATTGTAAGGTTTAGAAAATGGTAGAATATTGTGAAGCACTAAACCATAGTTGTTATTTCATTTCGACACATGATATGAACATTGAGCAGTTCTCATTCACCATCTCTATTATTCTGGCATTCTTTGATTCATTGAATTCACTGCTCCTCCCCACAAAAGGTAACAGGGTACCACCATTTATCACCAATTAATTTCTCATTCTCAGCATTCTCTTTCTTCATACCGATAACTAAAAGGACCTGAAACCAGCCACTCAGCTTGCTTTCTTAATTTACTGAATCTCATTCTCATGGTCTGCCAAATCATATCTACTTGATGACACATATGCTTTGTCCATTATTTCTTTGGACACTCAAGGAACTCATTTGTGCTATATTTAAAGTAGTATACTGAAAAATTTGCTGATAATTTAAAACTATTTTTACATGATTTCTATTTAATTTTTTAGTAAAAATGGTCATTTTAATTTATTAAAGTCATTTGTCATTTTATATTAAAATGATATTGTAGGTATTTCTTCTACCCAATGTCAGATTACTTGTAAATATATAATAAAATGATTTGCATTAAACAATGTCTCCTTTTTATTAAAATAGCACATTTTCTGTACATAGATACATCTACTACATTTTTGCTTCTTCCTTCAAAAAATAGTTATAATCACAAATTATACTTTTTGCATTAGTTACTTGTGTTTTACTTATATCTTTGGGGTCCCAAAATACTATAAATATGTCGAATATTTTAGCATTATAGTTTCACATTTTTCTTATTCCTTTTTTTTTCTGTTTCTTTCCTATCTGCTCCTCTATCCCCAAATGCTCTTTAGTTTTTATTTTCTTTCAAGCACTAATAACCTCTTATGTCTTATCATAATGATTCTTCTCCAGCTTATTTCTTCTTGCTGTATTGCCTTTATTCAAACATTTTGTCTTTTAATTCATTTACTCTGCCCAGAAGAGTAAAGTTACATTGGGAGACTTACCAGCATTTTCCCATTCAGAAAGTATTGGTCTCACTGTGGTAACTGCTCCAAATTCTCAGGGGTCATAATCATTAATACATTTCTTACCAGGAATTGGGCCCACAGATCCTAACTCCAAGAAAGCTGTTTTTTTGGGGAGAGTCCAGGCACTTTAAATTTAACTGCATGCCCCCTTGTTTTCTCTGCTTTCAACTATATGTTTTTCAACTCTAAAAACATTTATCAAAACATTAAGTCACTCAAGTAATCAGTTACTTGTTTGGTCAAAAATTTTTTTAAAAAAAGTTCATCTGTTCATTTTGCCTACTCTCTTCCAAAAAAAAAGTCAGTCATTGCTAAGGACTAGTGGCAAAGGAGATGGGATTATCAGCAAAAGAAAAAGATCAGTTCTCAAAACACCTTGATACTGATTTTTCACACATAGTGTTTACCCCATATTAATTTTATGAAGGTTGTATAATAAAATAATAAAATATAATTTTTAGAGTTATTGTCAAAAGATAATAGAAGTTGAGAATGGAAGAATACATTCATAGCTGTTGTAAATACTTAGGAAAAATGTGAAAATCAATTCATATAAAGCAAATAGTCCAACTGCCATATTTAAAAACTGCATTGTAATTTATGACATCAAATTTGTTTTCAAAGTGGGCTTAGAAGAAAGCAATAAATATACAATTTTCAGAACTACATACTTTTGTTAAAAATCTCCATCACTTCACTTGTATATGGATTGTTGCCAGTACGCGCATGTATAGCTAAATATTGAAAGGTAATGAAGAAATTAGAGGTCTTAGAGTCAAGGCATATTCATGAAAATGGCTTTCAATCTTAGATGTGTTTGTCTGCTACTCTTTGTGCCTAAACCTTGCTATTCTGTGTTCAGTATTCATATGAAAACAATTGCGGCAGTAATGGTGCAAACTATCTCATCTTGTATAAGTGCAGTGGATTATTGTCGATAGGGATAATTGTGAGCGTGAGGTGAGTTGAAAATTGAATCCAAACATTTCAGTTAAGGACAGAATCACAGCTACTTTTTAAACTTCTTTTCAGCTCAGTACTGTCAACCTTTGGTTATTCAGAAAAGGAACAAAATCCAATAAATTTAAATATTACACCAATTGTACGTCAGCTGAAGAGGTTCCTGTTGTCAGCAGTTACTGGAATAGAGTCTTAAACTAATAAGATGAAAGTTTTCAAAATCCAGAGCCAAAATCTTTACACATTAATACAAATAGATTTATTCAGTTATCAATAAGTCATTACGCATGATTTATTATACACTTAAAGTACACATAGGAGTACCTACTGTCCTCTGTATTCTAGCCTCACAATGTCTCATCCATTGAGAACCATTAACAGACCGTGATTAGATCTCTTCCTGCCAGATGTAATATATCTATCTTGTACAATATCTATAATCATTGATTGCTAGGGTTCTGCAAAGTTAACAAAAAGAAAAGGACAAACATACAACTGCATGATAAAACTCTGACAAAAGCAATAAATATTGAAGTTTAGGGAATATTCATTAATCTATCTTCTCCCTTCTCCTATTCAGCCAGTGTTGGTTGGGGCTAAGTACCAGTGATATGGCTGATACGGCTAAAAGGCGTGTAAAGTAGAAGGGAGAAGAATGAGCAAGAGAATGAATCATCTGTAAATAGATTAATTTAAGCCTGAATAATTAAGAGTTGATTCTAACATCAACTATATACTTTTGGTTATTCTATTTTCATTCTGCCATTTTAGCATCATTAATATCAGTGTTTTTCCATTGTTTAATACTATTGAATAATGTTTGAAAAAATACTGAAATGTAAACCCAACAATGACAGTTCATAACATTTGGAGCTTTTCTAAAAGTAATCAATTTTGTCAACAAAATCCAAACTATCTTTTATGTAACAATGCCAGTCTCATCATGTTTAGATTCATAAGCCTTTATCAAAATGTAATTCGGTATCCCTAGAATTGATCTTCAGTATTACTTAAGATTATACATGATCATGATAAAATTTGTGTAATACTTATAATGGGAACACACTTAAGACGTTGTGTAGCTATAACATTTTCTATTTAGAAAAATGAAATTTAAAAATGCATATCTTGTACCATTTCCAAATTATTTTTCAAAAATTATTGTATATAGGGTAGCGATATCATTATTTCCATGAAATTTATGTAATTAATGCTAAGTTGAGCATTTAATATGTGATTTAGGCAGTAAAATGGGAATTATTGGAAATAAAAAATGTGAGATTTAACTACTTAAAAGAAACTACCTTAAAGTATTTAGCAATATTTGAACAGTTATTTAACCTTTAAACATCTAATATGGTGTTAATTCTCATCTGTAGTGTTATTAACAGATATTAAGATGCATTTCAAAGAAACTACTTAGTTGCTGAGAACAATTTTAACTTGCATAAATAATCTTATCTCTCCACGTTTTCACTGAAAATCACATTGTATAAAGGTATATGTACGTTGCATGCATTATTATAGTTATCCTGTCCTCTAAATCTCTGCACCTACCTTAGTTTGACAGTTTTTCAAATAACACGTCAGATTTAGAGAAAAACAACAGAATGTCATGAGAGAATACATTATTTATTCAGTATGCAAAATTCAGTGTTTTGTTTCTATAATTCTATTTCTCCCCTGGGGAGATAGGGTTTAGGATGAGATGTAAAGGAAAGACAGAGAAGTAAAAAGAAGAGGAGAAAGTGCCCTTTGACATTCATCTCAAGGGATAATCAGATAATAAATTGTTCTTGAAATAAAATTTTGTCCTTAGTTCACTGTTAAAATTCAAACAAACTTAACTTGAAATCTGTAAGTATGAAATGTTCTGACAAAATAAAAATTTTAATTTTCTATAAACACAAACGATACCCACATTTATTAATCAAATAAAATTCCTCACAATTCTTTAGTATGATATAGTTATCATGAAAAATTTAAACTGCCAAAACATTGAGCGAGCTACAGTCTTTCTTGTTCTCAAGTCATATCCAGAAGATGAAATTATATTGTTATCTAATGTACAGCAAGTTAAGACACTAGAAATAAAAATAAGTTACTAGTGATTTGATATCCTTTAGACAAAACCAAGATTTGGAATATGGAAACACATACACACTTCAAATTTAAATTTTGTGATTGTATGTATAAAAATTCCATGTTTGAAGGAGAACTTATAAATTCTTTCAAGTCATTCAGAATAAACAGTAGTGGTTATTTTCAAAGGCTCATTCCTAATAATTCCTAATAATTAGCATAGCAATCATGAATTACGCATTTTAAGCCTATATATTATTACAACCTTATTTCCAAATCTGGATTCATTAGTATTTCTTATGCCTTTATAAAACATATGATTAAACACATGTTTTAAAACTTTGTTTCTAGTCCTAATTAAATTGTCCAGCAGAGACGGTTTTTAGGTTAAGAAAAAATGTTCATCCTTTTTCTCTTGGCTGTGATCCAGTTTGCTAGTGAACATGAATACCCAAATCTACGTAATTCTTTATAATTAATAATTTACTTGTGGAAACATGAGAATATTAGTGCATAACAGAAACTACCATAGTCATATTTGGTGACCATAGCCTCAGGCAAAGTATGTGTTTCGTTCCCTTCATTAGATATTTTCTTTTAGAATTTTGAATATTTTAAATTACATTTACAGAGTTCTCATTTTACAGATGAATAAATTATTGCATATAGTTTGAAGTACTTTACTCAAAATCATCTCTTAGAAGTATGATGAATCAAAAGTATAGACTTGGGTGTTAGGTACTTGATATTAGCCCTAACTTGATTATGCATTTTGCTGTGTTATATAGCTAAGTAATTCAAATTATCTAAGCCTTTGTTTCTTCATCCATAAAAGGAAATTTAAAAATCTGTATCATACAGTTATTGATATCTCTAGCATACAGGACATATGTCTATTAAGTGTCACAAATATATATGTGTCTAAATTGGTGTGTGAATATGGTTATAAAATGTCACCAATTTATATGTGTGGAATAAAACCATATATATATATATATATATATATGTATATATGATTCTCAACCAGGGGAGATTTTGCCACTCAGGGTAAATTGTCAATGACAATTTATCTTGTCAAAATGAAGGCCTGGTCGTGGTGCAGTGCTTCTGGTATATAGTGGGCAGAGGCCAAGGATGTAGCCGAATATTCTACAATGCATGAGACAGCACGTCTACAACAAAGAATTATCCAGCCTATAACGTTAACAGGTTCAAGGCTGAGAAACTCTGGTTTAGTTGAAAAGAGACAAGATTAAACTCGTGTCTCTTATATTCCTCGTTTGTTCTGTAATTAGCTACTTTGTAGTCTATTCCATTATTAATAATAATGATTTTGTTTCAAAGCTAATTTTACTAATTTGTAAGTTTCCCTGAGGATTATCTTCCATGCCATCTCTACTGCTATTATTATTTTTATGTTCCAATCTGGTATCTTTTAGTTGTAATAATTTTTAAGCTTACTGTTGAATATTCACATTCTAAAAATCAAATATGTTTCCATCACAAATATCAATAGCATTTTTTTTTTTTTGGTGGGGGTAGCTACTTGCCATTTCCTAAAACTCTCATAACAAATAAAGAAACCATAAAGGGAAAAGAAAACTAAAATATTATTTTCAAAAAAATATTTCCAATACTAGTATGCACAGAGACTTGGCATCCTTTAATTTCTATTCTCTGATAATTACGAGTTTTCGTTGAATTCAAAGAACAATTAAAACTATTCAGTTTCTACCTGTAATGATTCTAATGTCTAATGCAATTAATTCAATAGAACTCTAAGAAAATCTGAAATTAAAACACACACTGAATGGAAAAAGGTTCCACTTTTCACATAATGTGTTCAATAAGGTAATTACCTAGAGAAATCTAACATGGAAAACATCTTTGTCATTTAGGATTTTGAATTTTTGATGCTTATTTTTTCATGTAATTAATGCTTATCATTTGCCAAAAATACCTGACAAATACATACTTTAGGGGAACAGCATTCCTCAATATCCTGTAAAAGAATGTTGAAAAACCATGGCTACTTGTCTTGAGCTCCATAATATGTTGTTAGTTTAGAAATCTAAATATTTGTAATTTTATTTTGAATAATAAGCATGTTGAAAAAATAGCACAGAAGTATCTTGATTGAAAAGTGTTCTGAAAGCGTGTAATCTTCAGCATGCTGTAAATGCCAGGAGAGCTTGGATATTGTTTGATTTCAAAAAAAAAAAAAAAGTTCTGGTACTTTTAGTATAAAGTAAAAAACAAAAACAAAAACAAAAAACATAAAACATTGTTATAAAAGCAGTGTAGTGGTGATTATCTCCAAAAGATATCTATTATATAAAATGACTGTATAGAATGAGTCGTTTTATGACTTTGGTTTTCAACTGCTTAGCTATAAAATATTGAAAGTCTATTTTAAGCTTCTCTTAGCAAAAAAAGTGCTAATGCATATTGTAGAGCTGGAGTTTCAAAACTTTTCAGTGAAATTGTACCTGTTAACTCTTTATTGGTAACAATGTGCAAATTTGTGTTATCACCACTCTGCACCGCTAAAATAGTGATGTCCACAAATGAGAGCAAATATGTATTATATCATTCCTCATTATAAATATTTTTTGACTACTAACAGATTTTGGAGGTATAATTTTAGAGCCTAACCTTTAAAAATTAGACTCTGTATGTCTGAATTAGGACTGTAATCTAACTAGTGTCTGCACTGTTTGCCCCTTTGCCAACATGAAATATTGAGGTGTGCTGCAAATTGAATCAATACATCCAATGTGTGCTTTCTTCATGCAGGGATTTGAGACGGCTTGGAGTGACTCTTGTCGGTCACCAGAAGAAGATCATGAACAGCCTTCAAGAAATGAAGGTGCAGCTGGTAAATGGAATGGTGCCATTGTAACTTCATGTAAATGTCACTTCTTCAAGTGAATGATTCTGCACTTTGTAAACAGTCCTGAGATTTATTTTAACAAAAAAAGGGGGAAAAGGGAAAACATTGATTTCTAAACCTTAGAAAATATTTGCCTCGGCCACAGAATTTGTAATCATGGTTTTTACTAAAATCTCCAGTTCTTGGTCCTTAGTCTTCATTTTTCATGAAGCAAACATATCTTGCATTGAAAGGGACATGAGGATAAATGTCATCTTAAGTTACAACAACAGAATCCTTCCCACTACTTCTACAAAATTTTGTACCTGAAATACATAAATATATAGCACTTTTATAGACTGAATTAAGGCAACCCCTTTCAAAACTTCCAGGGATCTACTTGAAAGGAAATGTTTTATAGCCATTTGTGAGCTAACAAAAGCTACAGTTTACTGAAGTTTGCTTCAAGTCTTAATTGTCTACGAAAGTGTATTGAAGAGCAATATGATTAGATTATTTCTTGATAGATATCTTCTTTTGTAATTTTAAAATGCTGTTACACAGCGTTAAGTTATAGAAACTAGTGTAAAAACATGTTGCTTCATCAAGAAAAAGTACAATACAGGGTGTATATTTATTTTTTGTGTTATAAAATTTACTTTTAGTTGCTCTTCTAGAGATTATTAAGTAATAAATGTGTATATACTGTATAATTTGCAATATACCCAGGAACTGATTTAAGACGGAGTTGTGTGTGTGTTTGCTTGCACATGTGTGTGTTACCATTCTGCTTGCATTTCTAATAGTGTTTTAATTTTAGCAACATAAAGGAGCAAGTGTTCCAGAATGTAATATGAATAGGAGAAATAGGGAAGCAGTAAAACAAAATTTAACACAAGCTTGTGTCTCTTTTCCTCTCATGTGTCCAAAAGCTAATCTCTTTATTCACTAAAAGGAAATGTGTATAAGACTAAATCCCCTTTGGCTTTTTAAAAACACTTTGTGATATCAGTGACAATGCAGTTCTTGTAGCCATTAATCTTGTACCCCTGTAAGAAATTTCACCTTTCTGAGTCCTAAAAAGTATCTTGTCAAGCAAAGTTGACACCGAAGGGCACATTTTCAGCAGGATGTAGAAGGATTTAACTGTGCAGGCTTCTGTTAATGTTGTTAAATCCAGGCACATAGCATGAAGCATCACCCTTAAGTGTTAATCCTTTGTAACCATTCCCATTTTGACTCAGTTCTAGGAATTTTGACTCTAAGGCAGCAATGGACTTATGACAAATATATACATATATATGTACACACACATAAATATATATATATATGCTTCTTTCCCTTCAGAATTTTATTTCAAGAATTGACAAGTTTTATTTGTGATGTATGTTTATTCATTTGTTAATTTCATTTTATATTCAGTTACATAGCATTGAGTTTATTTTAATGAAACAATCCAAGGTATTATGTAATTAGACTTATTAAGGAATATAACATATCTTCTATATATGCTCTATATACAACACATGATGAAGACTTATATTGGTGATACAAATTATGCAGTGTATTAGAAATTGTACAAAATTGAGCTCCTGAGATAACCAACATTTTTGTATTATTACACTTTATAAAAATTATGGAATGTCATGTGATTATTCAAAAAGCAGAGCATTTAAATAAAATACAGCCTACTCATGATTATCAATGTTATTAGTACAGTAGATCAGAGAAGCCTGGATTAATGGAATTTCTCAGAAATACAGTCACATTATATTAATGATAGTCTGTTTTCCAAGCACTTGTTTTACTTGAATGTTAGCATATATAAGAATAAATTTTTGGGAAATAACTCCTTCCTATTCTGCCCACCTTTTACTTAAGCAGTAAAGTACCTCTTTTATAAAGAACCAGGAAGCATCAAAACAACAACAAAAATCTAAACAATTTTCAAATGATATATTCAGTTCTCATTATAATAAGGGCTATATACCATGGGTCCACACAAACTGTGCTGCAAACATATAATCTATTAGTTTAGTGAAATTTCCAGAGATGTGAATTTAATATTTTCTTGATAAAATCATAAATAGGCATCACCATTATTAAAGATGCATTTGTTCATTTCAATAAACAGAAAATTAATGAAACAAATTACTTTTGTACAAAATAAATGGAGATTGTGTTGCACTTTATTGAATTTTATAGAAATATTCAAATCTAAGTGATAAAGTAACAATTGAGAAACTTCAAAATGAAAGCCTTATTGATTCAAAAGGAAAATTACCATATCCTTTAGGGCTGATGAATTTGCCACAATTGCTTAGACATAACAAAGATATTTTCTACGTTGTTTTCCAAGTTTATATGCTGAAAGATAATTGTGAGGTCAGGGTGGAGTATATCTAAATGACTAGAACTTTAAGTTACAATATAGATTTTCTCTTTTTAACAAAAGAAGAATATAAATTAATTTGGATCAAATTTATTTGTCTTCTTTGCAATCTTGGTGATCATTTTGGAAAGTAAATTGAAAGGAAATTTAAATAGCCACATAGTTTTCTTTTGCATCTCAATTTGGTTGAGAATTTCTAAGGAAGGTTAATATGACTTTAGAATGAATAAAGAGACTGTCAAACAAAAAGTACTTTCCCTAAAAAAGAGGAAAGAGTGTCTTTCTAAAATATTTGTTTTCTATTTTATATGTCACCAATTGGAAAATGCCAATCTCATCTTCAAATGTGAGAAAGGGAACAAGGAGAGGAGCAACTCTAGTAAAATGTAATGAGGTCATAATCCAAGGCAAAGTTTAATAAATCTTGATTGTGCGATTTCTTATTCTGTTGCTTCATTTTGTCACCCACCAGACTACCAAAAATAAAGCACAGACATGACAATTTTAGTACATACAATAGATTTTGCAAATAATACATAATGATATTATAACTGCCAGTAGCAACATCTTAAGGGACATAACTCTTTCACAGTATTGGCCTTTGAAAAATCGGTACAGGGAGTAATTTTCAACGGACATTGATACTTGAAGTCACTCAGTTACTACTTTGACCAATCATAATTTGTTTCTAATCTTGTCATTTGCTCATGTATATTATTAATATAATCAGTTGCTATTGTCATAATGTATTATTTCTATGTAAAAATGTAAAGATTTTGATTTTCCCATTTTTTTAAAATTATAATGTGCATGATCTTTCATTTCTTGCATTTTAATTACCAAGTCAGTATTCTAAGGTTGTAAGATTACTGTAAAAATTATATTCCAATATTTTGTCTAAACTTAAGTGTGGCCAGCATTACTGGTTTCAGAGTTGCCTAAACAGTACAGAATACCCTTAATTCAGTTTGTAAAAGAGTTTTGACCAGTGTGAAAAAGTGAAGACACAGTTTCATGGTTCAAGTTCAAAATGGAAAATTAATATCTTTTGAGTACTTATGTGTTTGCATGTCTGCTACTTAATCTCTATCTGAAAGTATAATATTTTTAACACCATTATTTATGCCATGTAAAGTGGGCTCTCAGAAGCACAAGCACAGATATTTACCTTTGGAAGACATTTTTGGCTATAAAGGTGCATTGAATGACAAACACTATTTGAGTTAGGTGTTAGAAATTTACCAGATGTATTATATTACATAGTAGAATAAGGTTCTTTTCTCATTTTGTTCTTCCTAAAAATAAGAAAAAAAAGAAAGATAAGTGTGATAGTAAACTGTCTTTTACTAACGTCCTGCCAGATGTTTAACTTCAAAGTAAGTAAAAAGTAGATACAATATGATGATGATCCTGATGATGATGATGATGAATAACTTGAATCAAAATACTAGCTTTATTTGACATTAATAAGTAGAATAAGTCATCATTTTTTCAACTCTGTAGTACAGCTGGTTTCATTGAATAATTTTCTCTGTTATGGTGTTAATTATATAATAGTGTATCAAAAGAGAAATAGATAAGAACTTTCTTTTTCTTTCTCATTAATTTATGAAGAAATCTTTTCACACACAAATGATTGAATGTTCTTGTTCAGAATGACCACATAATCATTGCTTAGAAGCAGACACCAATTATTTAAAAGAAAAAAAGTCTGTTTATAATAATCAGAATCAAATGTTCTTTGTTTCTTCTAAACCTTAATGGGGAAAATTGAATGTGGCAAAATGTCATGTTTATTCGGGCTGAGAACTGTATTAACAGTAGAAGTTTCAGGGGTCAGCATATCTATGGCTCTTTAGGCTGCTGTAGTTTTATAGTCAATTATTAAAAAGTATGTAAATTGCATTTATAAAAGTCTGATAATACTTACACTCAGTCATTTGTTAGTATTTTTATCAAAATCTCTTAGTTTCAGTCATGTCAAAAGCAGCTCTATAGCATATCTTACTCTGTGATATACATCAGGTTATCTCAAGTCCCTGCCTCACAGTTAATTTAAAGAAGGATTAGGATTTCTGTATTTTTTCTCATTTGAATCTTTAAGTGCATTTGGTTTGTGTACATGTTTTTTGTAGTGTAAGATATGAAATTTTATATTTTTTCAGAAAATAAAAAAAACATTTGAATACAGTTACATCCGATTGTCATGCTTGACCCTCTCCGGAGAGTTTAAATTTATAGCCTTTGTGTAATGATTTCAGTTACTTCTAATAAAAATGTTTCAACTGATTATGCTAAATATTTTAAAGGCCATCAGCATCCATTTTCTTCAAAAACATACTCATGAGCCTGCATTTAAATAATTTTTGCATATGGAGATTGACACTGAGATTGTAGAACAGGTGCATTACCATGTGAAAATCTAATTAGAAGTTGATTAGTGACAGTGTAATATATTATTTGGAAAAAACAGAAAACTATGCACACTATCCTGGAAACAAACAAACAAAAAGAGACTTTCACTGAGCAGCATCAGACCAAGACTTTCTCATCACCATACATGTGCTTACAGCAAAGAGCGGAAGAGTTTCATTGTCACAGGAAGAGGTGTCATTTAATACAAACACCTCCCACTTTTTGTGTAAATGTTGTATCATACTGGTCTCTTTTTGTAAAAAGCATAGCAAACAATTCACTGTATTCAAGGAAATAAATATTTGTAGTTGTTTGCATTTATATCACAATATGTGACATCACCATGCCTATGGAAATAATCCACAACTCCTTTGCATATGTATAAAATAACTACTACAAATGATATTATTTAACATTTTAGTATATATTGTATGTAAATAATTCTGAGTTCTTTGTCACTAGGTAGACTATTATTTTTGCCTCTGCTTTTCTTCAGAAGTAAAGATTATATGACCAGGTAGAAAGGATGAAGTGGTAGTGAACACGTTAGCATTTAATGAGAATACACCATTCTGTATTTGAATTTTCCACTTTTACCTTTGAGAGACATATTATTGACTCCACTTTAATGATGAAGGAAAAACAGCTTAAAGCTGTCGAAAATTTGCCCAAGGCCTGACTGCTCTTCAAAGGCTGGATGAAATCCACATTTATTTGAGAGTAAAACTATGAACTTCCCATCACACAATTCTGATTCCACGCTGTTGCCCATGCTATTGAGATGATAATATCATTTATTCCAATGTTCTGGCTTAATTGACACAAGGACTGAGAGTCATCGGGAAACAATGAATTGCACGTTTACAACAAGCAAAGTATCAACATTGGGTAGAAACCAGGGTCTGACTGAATACACCTCTAACGTGTTCAGCTTTTGGAATAAGTCAAACTTTGGTAATCAAAAATAGTTTTCCTTATTTATCATTCTGCCACTGAGTAGCAACACGATCTAATTCAGGATTTTTTTTAATATAGGTCATAGTGTCTGCACCTACAAGCTCAGGAAATTGCAAATAATATTTGTCGGTTATTTTCAGCTATAATACCTGAATTTCACTTACAGAACCTTGACATCTACAAGAGATTGTCTACCAAGTTCTTGCTACATCCAACATAAAATAAATAATTTTGTCTTTATGAAAACCCACAGTAGCTATTTAAATCAGGCAGAGTTGTATATAACATATTATATGTAATTTTCCTTTAATTTAGCAGGTTAAAAAATAATAAGTCAGATGAAGCTGACAGAAATGCTAATATATGGATAAATGTTTTTACAAAGAAAGAGTTATTTGTTCCTACATTTTATTCCTTACTTTTTAAAATTATTGATTATGAAAAATATTAAGATGTGTGATGTGATGATTATTTTCAGTTTGACATTTCCAAGTGATCTATGTTTCCAGAAAGTAGAAATTAGTTAAGAATCCAATTTTGTGATATTGAATTTTTAAACAAAAAGAAAAAATTCTCTATTAATTAGCATTTTTATTATGATCATAAAATTCAACAACAAATCTCATGTTAAAGTTGACTCTCTAAAATGAGTAATAAAAAAAGACTTTTTAAAATTAAACACTGCTTATATGTGGCAGGTTACTTCAAGAGATAAAATACACTCACCACAGGTAAACAATTTTACTTACCATAACTTATAAATGCAAAGAGATTTTGCAGGTGTTCAGAGTTTGGTCTAGGCCTCTTTCCTCAATTAGATGACAAGTAGAAATTTGATTGTGTTTTTCCAAAAAATCATGGTTTCTTACACTGCTCCCAACAAAAACCATTCTTCAGGCTGTACAGGAAGAATGAAGCTAGCATCTACTTGACTTCTGGGGAGGCCTCAGGAAGCTCAGTCATAGCCGAAGGTGAAGGAAAGCAAGCAGGACTTACATGACAGGTGCAGAAGCAAGGCTGTGGGGAGGTGCCACATAATTTTAAACAATCAGATCTCAGGACAACTTAATACCATGAGGGCAGCACCAAATGGGGATGGTGTTAAACCATGAGAAATCACCCCCATGATCCAATCACCTCCCACCAGGCCCTACCTCCAGCATTGGGGATTACATTTCAACATGAGATTTTGGTGGGGACACACATCCAAACGCTATTCCCACCTAAACAGGGCTCTAAACATTTATCTATAAATGTGTTTTATAATTTATAGATAACTTTAAAAATCAGTCAGGAGATTATGATTTTATTTTTTTGTTACTTTCCCTTATTTCTAAAATATGTACTTTAATATTATTTATATGGTTCATAGTATTGGTTCACATGATAAATGTCTCAAACCATGCTGATAAGAAACACTTATCATGAACAACAAGCATTTTCATCCATGTATTTAACTCATGTAATCAATCAATCAATCTTTAAAACTCACACACTCAAAAAAGAGTAAGTCGATATCTTCGACGAGAAGCACCAGGTTTCTTTATTCAGCAATGTAAATATGATCTCAACACAGGTACAGCCAGTGTGAGCTATTAATACTTTCAAGTTCATAGTATGAGATAATTTATCCATTAGGAGAACATGATCTCTTTGCTAGAACTGAGAAGTTAAGTTTCAGTTCCGATGTGGTTTACATGTTCTAAATTCATTGAAGAGTTTCTGTTTTAGGAGGTATGTATGAAAGATCCTTCTTAGACCCTAGCCTCTAAGTGAAGGTCAGAGACTTTCTATCTACCTTAAGGTACCAAGAAATGATATCCTTGATTGGACTCTGTTCTCTGGAATTGAACATAATGCCATCTATTGCTATAGTTGCTGATATACACAAATCTACTTCTGGGCTTGATTTATATCTCTTCCTCAGATTGAGACCTCAAAAAAGGTCTCAGATTGACCTTTTTTTGTCACAATACTTTCTAAGGAAAAAAAAAAGAATATATTACTTTAAATTAATATGAGAAGATAAAATGGAATAAAGTATGCCATTATCTTTTCTTTCTTCACCAGCCAGTCCATAGACTTCAGTGTCCAAATTCTGTTTCTCTGGAGAAAATTCTGTTTCTTTGGAGAAAAGCCTGATAAAGGTAAATCAGATGTCTGTATGCAATACAAGAGATTCTAACCAAGTAACTATGATATGGCCTGTTTCTGAGTGAGCTTTATAAATCTTTGTAGATTTGGCTTTGGTATGTGCAAAAAAAATAGGAAAAATATAAACTTCTGATATTTTCTATTATGGGGGCTAGGCAGATCTGGCAATACCTATTTATTTAATTTTAAATGGTATAGAATTGGAAGCAAGCCCCATTTTTTGGCTAGGAGTTCACTTAAAAATTTTTCACAAACTCACCAAAAAAACTTGGGACTTCCAAAAAAGTGATCACACAATGTTTATAGGGAAGACTATAGTTAGTCCATCCTCTTCCTACATAAATTTCAGTGGCTTTATCTTAGGCTCCAGAGGAAAAAATAAATAAATAAAAATATTTTTCCAATGAATATATAGCTTCAAGGTGAACTCTTTTACACTTTTTTCTAAATAAATTTGTACACTTAAGACTCCCAAATAAAATATTCTAAGCTGTTACTATATGTTTGAAATTAGAAATATTATAGATTAAGTGGGAAACAAATAAACTGACAATTTAAAATTAGTTCTTGGACTGTTCTGCAAGAATAAGTCAACATGGAAGTATGAGGATCTTTTATATCCTGGAGCCATTGGGCATTCTAATTATCTTGATATAATTCCACCCCATCTGAGTATTAGATAGTGAATATCCTATAAAAAATCATGTAGTGGGCTTGCCATGAATTTCCATGTCGTAACATGCAGACATCTTCCATCACGTCTTTGATGCTAGAGATGAGATGACGTTTTTGGCAACAAGTGTTCATGTGCTCTGGGAAGACAAAAATTGATATGTATACAAATGCAGAAAAAGTATCAAGAAAGAAGCTTGCTCCTCCTTAAAAAAATAAAAACACCCTGGGCTAACAACTGGAGATCTATTGTCTTTATCTTAGCTCTGTTTGTTTGAATATTGAGACTTTGGAAGAAGTTCATAAAATTCTTAACATTTCTTCAAATATCTTCTGATTTAATTTTTAAAGGGATTCTGTGTATTAAACAGGACCAGGATTACTATCTTCTTTTTGTGAATGAGGAAACTCTGGAAGTTCAATAGTGTTGACAATTAAAATCACGGATCTCGTCAGTTGACAGTCTTTAGCAACTCCAAGACTTATAAATGTGTTCCTGTAATCTAGTGACTAAGGCATATAATGCAAATGGTGAGGACTATAACAATAATACAAATATCTGTTAAAGGCCCACAACTTCCCAGAAAATGTATTGAATACTCACATATATTTTCGTTTAATTCTCATGACAGTTCTTGAACTGAGATTTCTTCTGTTTTTGTTTTGAACAAAAGTAGAAAAGAGACTATGCAATGGCTAAGTGACTTTCCTCAGATCACGTAGTTCAGTACTGTATCTCAGCTGCTCTTTCAAATAACCCTTCTCCCTCTAAGTTCCAGATGATTCCAGCTTTCTTGCTTCAGAAACTATTCCATTAGTTATTCCTATTCTTGAATATCCGCGTCAGTCACTCCCCATGATTCCCTTCACCATATCCTCTGTGTCATAGTGAGGGAGTAAGGCATCCTGGTTCTCTGGGGACAGCATGCCAAATTCTGTTTTGTCGCTTAGTAATTGTGTGAATTCAGGCAAGCCATTTAGGCACTTAGCCCTGAGGTATCTCATCTATTAAATGAGAACATAACTAGCAAAAATCTATGAATATATTCATAGAGGAATTGAAAATAGTATCCAGCACATAATACTTCTTTAGTAAATGTT